TCTTCGTCATCAAGCTGGATTTCATGTCATTGTTATACATAATAAGTCAGCTAAAGGTGAACTAAAAGCAACTGTAAATGCTCATTATCCATGGGAATTATTTACTCAACAACAAAAACCAATAAAGATAACAAATAAGTTAGATTCAATTGGAAGTGAACGAACAAATCGAATATATTATTTTAGTAGTTCGAATAGTTTACATCTCAAAGATTCATCACCATGTTCATCGAATAGACAATTGCCCATTGTTAATAATCAAGATATAAAAAAGCAAAAATGTCCAAAATGTACAAGTGAATTTGAATCTGTTCAAAGTTTACAACAACATCAAACTATTAAAAATCATTTATTTAATTGTCCTGTTTGTAATGGAATTTTTTTTACACAAATAAGTCAAACTCAACATCAAAGAAATAAAAAACATTATATTGGTGATTATAAATGTAATCAATGTAATCGTTATTTTTCAAAAATTGAAAGTTTGAATCAACATCAACAAGCTACTGGGCATATATCATTATCATTAAATGATCAAGATTCTATGATGATTATTCTACAAGGAATTGAAGCCATAAAACAATACTTTGAAAAGCATGGTTTGATCAATAATTGATTGTTTTTTTTTTCTCTAAACAAAATTCATTCTTTTACTATTATTCATTCGAAAATCCAAAAAAATAAGAATATCAAATAATTATTCAATATTCAATAGAAATTTGAATATTAAATGAATTTATAGATAGATCTTATGTATATTTTTGAATAAATACTAATTAGCATTCAAGTTTAAATTAGCATGTAGTAAAAGAATGAGAAAAAAAAAAGAATTAAAATTTTCGATTTAAAATAAAATGAATTATTGCTATACAAATAAAATGTATTGAATTAATTTATTTTTGTTTGAAGACAAAATTTATGTTTTATTGATACAACTTAATTATTAAATTTTGTTGAAGCAATAAAATTAAAATAAAAACAAAAAAGATATAAATTATGCGTGATATTTTTCTTAATATATATATTAAATAGTGAAGTATTCGAATTGAAAATGAAATAATATTGTATCAAATTGATTGACACTTATCGTATGCACAGAATAAATGAGTCTCTCAATATTTTGAGAATACCTCTATCGAATTCTGACATATTTATTTGAATCTTTTTTCAAAAAACGATTCGGGCAACATTTTGAAACATTGTAGTGCTGACCGGATATAATTCTATAGCTATTCGTTCAACGAACTCTTGTCTACGGTATTGCACGGACTATCTTTTGAAAAAAGATTCAAAAGTATACGTCATAATTTCAGAGAGATATTCTTAAAATACTGAATGCCACATTTATTCTGCCACACCCGGTTTTTTTTTGAAGAAATTTTATACTTAATTTTGTTTAATTCGACTGTTTGATATATATTTGTGTAACTTTTTTTAAATTTTATATAATCCGATTATAAGAAATTTTTGTTTTGTATTAACTAGTATGTGTATGTATGACTATTATAAATAAATATTATAATCGATATGAATAAAAAAAAAAAACTATATATAGTTTAAAATTTTTTTTTCCTGAAATCATTATAACAATTTTCGATCAGATTCATTTTGCATGTGATTAATCTTGTAATTAAATTCTTCTTCCAATTATGTTCGTACGTATTTTTGTCTGAATAGAATGTACCGGGTTGTGCATAACCTTTTGCTAGGGAGAGTAGTGCTATGATTTCAAGTTAAATACCTAAAGAATTTTATACCAAATTAAAGATCGTCAAAAATTGGATTCATTAGTATTAAATAGGTAAGAGTTATCAAAATATTTTAATGTCGAACTTACGAAATTTTCGGAAATTTGATGCCTTTTTTAGCATAGAAAATTAGGGTACTAGCAGTTTTTTATAGGGAAGAAAAACACTCGATTTACTCAATAAAATTAGTTTTTTCATTATTTTCACTCATAAAGACGCTTCGAGATATACTCATTAGACACAATTTTTCGTGCTGCATCGGATGAGTATATTTCGAAGCGTCTTTGTAAGTAAAAATAATGAAAAAAGTTAATTTTATCGAAGAAATCGAATGTTTTTCTTCCATATAAAAAACCGAGTTTTTGAAGATTTTTTAGAATTTTACAAGTAATTTTTTAGATTTTTTATCTCAGAAAAATGGCTCAAGAAACTTTTAATAAATATAGTTTTGTAGAGCTCGACGGACCCTATCGAATCATGTAAAAATGCTAAAAGAAAATATTTTACTCTATATTTGAATTGCTAGTGCCCTAATTTTCTATGCTAAAAAAAGCATAAAATTTCCGAAAATTTCGTAAGTTCGACATTAAAATATTTTGATAACTCTTACCTATTTAGTACTAATGAATCCAATTTTTGACGTTCTTTAATTTAGTATAAAATTCATTAGGTATCTAACTTGAAATCATAGCGCTACCCCCCCCCCCCCCTAGCAAAAGGTTATGTACAACTCGGTAAATTTCAGTGTCAACTTGAATTCTATGCGAGTCCGAAAATCTTATTTATTTACTTATGTTAGATTAACTATTTTCTTCAAATATAGTTATTCAATATAAAAACTGAAATTTTTATAAATATACGAATTATTATTAGAATTTATTACTAGTGCATGCCATAATAACAAATCCTTTGAAACTTGTATAGATTATGGAATCAGTATAGTATTGTGCACTATGTAAAATATCAGATGTTATGGCTTCAATTTTAAGAGGTAACTACGATAACATTGTACAGTTCTTTTATAAAAGTCCTCAAAAATTTGGATGACTAACACATGACTTAAAAGTGATGGTTCTGATTATTGACCTTTGCACAGTCGACAATAACAACGTAGATATTTGTTGAAAAAATGAAAGTGATATTTTTTTTTGCTGATTTCATTTATGTCGAGTATACGCGTATACGAAAGATGTGTCCGGAACGAGAGATGAGGGTAAGAAAACAAAACAGACCCTGTCGATTTCACCACATTCTCACATCGTATCATCACCCAGCACTCTCAGAATCACCGTGAGTATCTTTCGGGATTCCGAATATACTTTGGTCAATGGTCAACTTTTTTATTTTAAAAAATTATTCTAGCTCCTCAAGGATTTGAGAAAATACTAAGCCGAAAAATGGCAAATTTTTTTTCATCTGAGAAGAAAGTATCTCTTTTTCAAAACAAGTAGAAAGACCTACGGAATAAATCGTTGAGCACTTCATCTATTGTTCTAAACGAAAAACTTTGTTCTAACAGTTTTTCTGTTGTAAAAAGTATGTAAGTTCTCCTAATTAAGGGTTTTTTAAAAAGCCATGTTCAGTGTAGTCGATGCAAACACTTTAACAAAGCTCCAAGCATGATGGAAACTTTCATAGAATGTTTTTTTTGTTGTCTGACACATATACTCAGTTAGCGTAAAGATGCATAAACGCTTCCGAACTGAGATACAGATTTTCTATAAAAAAAAACCTTGGTGCTTAAAGATTTTCTGCATTCTTTTGTCTCATAAGTATTTTAAGAGAAAAATAAACAAGTATTTGGAACCTAGAGGATATAGATGTGGATGTAGGTGTGTGAGTAGGTGTGAGTCTTCTTTTCATCCACACCCACATCCTGCGTTAGGAAAAATGAACTTGAGGCTTATCAAGTTTCAACTCGCATCTACTTGAGACTCGGATCAAGTTACAAGACCCTAGATATAATTTTGAAGTATTATCCTACCATGAACCTTTTATAAATTCAAAAAAGAAAATTAATTTTCATTTAAATCATAGCTTTTGATAAATCAAAGTAGTATCTCTTAACTTTGTTATTCTTGAATATCATAAAAAATTGATGTTAGATGTCGTTCTAGTTGTAACAATAGATCAAAAGCAGCAATAGCTATCCTTAATGCTATACCAACTTGAATTAATGTATCTGACATTATTAAGTACAATATCACCCTGATCTGTAATGATGATATTTCCAGCTTTTTTTAATTTTTACAGTTCTATATGATAATAAAGCTGTTAGCGCAATTCCTGCAGGATTCAAATATGAAACGCAATGTAGCTGCCCTGGCTAAATACAAAGGGATTGTTTTATCCTATCTATTTCGGGACACATTTCTTCATCATCATTTTACTTTATCTTCCAGAAATGTAATAGGGACGTAGTTCATATATCATAGTGAAACGTTATCGATATACGCATAGTCACAGATTTAATAATCTAATACAATTATCTGTCGAAACTTTTGATTTTGTATGAATAATATTTTCTGAATATGTCATCCATTAGTAAATTTCAAAATATTTTGCTTTGACATATATGAAAATCTATAATAGAAATTGTCAACGTATTTTACGAAAGCTTCTCAAATATTAATTGTTAACCAAATTTCTATTATAGAATGTACTTTTTCATATACCTTAAATAATAATATATTCACACAAATAGTGACGACACCATAGAGGAGCTGAGCTTCCAGAAAATTTAAAGTTTGTCTTACAGAAGGACTCAGTTCCCCCTGACCAATAATCCTGGTGCCGCCTTTAGAAACTAATAGAAATCGTTCAAAAAGAAAAAAAATGATAATTCATAATTAGTCAATTTCTTCAATAACTTCCATCTCCAGTTCTTTATTTTATAAAAGAACTTATTCTATACAAATAAGAAAATTACAACTAAGATTAGGATGAAAAATTAAACCCCATAGTGTATATATAAAATAAAACTACGCAATAAACTGTAACGATTAAAATTTATTTGTTTGTTATTTATGTCGGTGGTGCCGTTGGATACGTAAATACATCATATGATTAACAAATAAATATTATTATGTTTGATCAATGTTATACGTCATCAATATGAAAACGAAAAACAAAAAAAAAACAAAAATGTACGAGCGAAAGTAAATCAAAATATCGAATTGTATTTTATAATGACTAGAAATAAGAAAAATTCAATATGAAAACTTTAAAGTTGTTTTATCATTATGATTATTTAATGTTCGATTTTGTTCATCTGACTGACAGAAACCCGATGTCGAATTTGTATCATATAGTAAAGATTAACTTTTTATGTATCACTGTTTAATTTATTATTATTATTATTATTATTATTATTATTATTATTATTATTATT